AAAAAAAAAAAAAAAGAAATACTCATTGAGTGAATAAATGAATGATCAAAAAGTGCTTCACACAATTCCTGACTCCAAATGTGCTCTATAAATGGGAGCTGCAAGGCCAGGCGCGGTGGCCTGTAATCCCAGCACTTTGGGAGGCCGAGGCGGGTGGATCATGAGGTCAAGAGATCGAGACCATCCTGGTCAGCATGGTGAAATCCTGTCTCTACTAAAAATACAAAAATTAGCTGTGCATGGTGGCACCCGCTTGTAGTCCCAGCTACTCGGGAGGCTGAGGCAGGAGAATTGCTTGAACCCAGGAGGTGGAGGTTGCGGTGAGCCAAGATCGTGCCATTGCACTCCTGCCTGGGTAACAAGAGCGAAACTATGTCTCAAAAAAAAAAAATAATAATAAATAAATAAATAAAATTTAAAAAAAGGGAGCTGCAGCTGTGCTACTGCTGTGTAGGATGAGAACAATGAGGACACACACTAGGAGGCCTGCAGTGGAATTTACGTTAAGCTACATAGGTTGAAGGGGTTGTAGAACCGTTAAATGCCTCAGAAATGAGGGGCAACAGCTTTTATGCAAGGCTGTTTGTTAATAAACTTTTTATTCAGTAGGTTTCTTGACAAGACTTTGTGGGTTGTGTGGACCAGTCCCTGGGTCTCAATACAGATACCTGCCTGTCCAAAACAACCACATGCACATTGGTTTGTCCCCCACAAGATGCAAAGCTTCCTCTCCGTTTTCTGCCCACCAGCCCAGTCCTCTGCTCTGAATGTAGGTCCAGGAGCCTGCGCTCTCACCATGCCCAGGACTGTGCACTCTGTGCCCAGCCTCTTCCTCCACTGAAGTTACTACTGGCCTCTCATGACAGCTCTCATGGTTATTCTCCAAAATAAACCTGTCTTTGACTATTGAGTCACTTTTCATTTTCTTTCCTCTTTCTTTAACTCTTACAATGAGACCTACTCTCTACTAAAAATTTTTAAAATTAGCAGGCCCTGTGGCATGTGCCTCAGGAGGCTGAGGTAGGATGATCACTTGAGCCCAGGAGGCTGAGGCTGCAGCGAGGTATGATGGTGCCACTGGCTGTGATGGTACCACTGCACCCCAGCCTGGATAACAGAGCAAGACCCTGTCTCTAAAAAAAAAGGAGGTGGAGGGGGACTGGGGAAAAAGACAAAAAGAAAAAGAAAAAAGTTAAAAAAAAAATAACAAATTTTAAAAAATGTTTTAAAGAGGGGGAAGAGTAGTAAATTGGGAAAA